AACTTTCATTATTGAAGGGAAGCAGAGGTATATATTTCTACAATCTGTATCAGATTCCTGGCTGAACTCAACAAATGACTTACATCACTTGAGAATCCAGACACTTCAGTGAAATGACTGACTGATTTCAGTACACTTAAAATCTGTGCTGTAGTTCATGGCTGAGAGAGACAGCTGGGCTCCATAGCTAGCACAGGCTGCACCATCCCTGTCGGGTCTGCTGTGTTGCTGCTCCTCTCTCACCACTTTCAGAGCCCAGCCTGTGCACTCCTCTGGCCACCAGCTTCCATTCAGTTGCACCACTGGTACATGCTTTTAAATCGGTACATTCTCATTCAAAAACTCCCCTTCCCTCATTCAACAGCATGGAAGCTAAACACATTCTTCCTGAAGGAACATACCCTCTCTGCTGTAGTACTGCTACTGCTAGCTGCTTGTATAGCTACTGCAGTGATTTTGACCTCACATCTCCAAGATGTTGGCTTGCTGTCTCCCTGGGTCTCCAATTCCAGGTTAAACTCTAAGTAGACAATCAGCCTTGTGCCAATGAAGACTGAACTTTAGTGACCTCCCTGAATGACCTCAGGAAGGTCTCATGGCAGCTGAGATAAAGACAACTTCTTGCAGCACTATAAAACTTTGCAAAGGATTGCAGTACAAAGCTTACTCCTTTTTGGCTAGGAAGGAGTATCTGTCTGTAGATATTGGTCTGTATACAGAAGTAGCTTCAATGGTGACTGACTCTTGAAAAGCTAAAAGAGAACCTGATCAGATCAACTGAGTGTGGTAGTCCCTTTTCCCCTAACAAATATTGATAACATTCTGGCAGGGATTCCCCAAGCAGCCGCATGAAGAGGGAGGCAGAAGAAAAGCTCGCGCATCTTGGATCATTTAGTGAGAGTGTTAAGTGATCTACTTTCTTATCAGCCATCACCTCTGTTCACTTACCAATCTTGGAAGCCACCTACCATGCACTGCCATCTTAAAAGTGTAATATTTTGCAACAGAAAGAATAGAAATCTCTCAAAACCTGTAACAGGTCAACACCTGTAAAAAACTCTTCAACTTGTCATCTGGCGCAGGAGGAGGAAAGAGATTATGCTATTGGACAACTGTCACAGATGGAGGCCTAAGTTTTCAGAAGTAATTTGGGATTAGCTTTTAGATGCCTGAATCAGAAAGTTAGAAACAAAATTTGAAAACTGCTTTTAATAAGATGTGTATGAAAAGCCAAGACATGGAGCCAAGCCAGATTGCTAATCAGAATAAAGAAAACAAAAGAGCACCATCTGAAAGTGAGAGCACAATCCACATTCCTCTAGTGTCACACTGGAGGAAGTCTCTCAGAAAATTAAAAAAATAATTTATGTATGTGGACTTATTCAGTATCAACTATGCAAAAAGAATTCATATCTATCTATAGTTTTATGATGTTACGTAGCTACATTAATTTTGTCAGAAGAGGTAATTTAAATCCTTTGGGAAACATTACCCTCTTGATATAAGCACATAACTCATATTAATAGGATTTGCATATATATAACAGCAGGCAGAATAACCCTGAGTTTGGAAAACAGCTTTGTATTTTAATCAGTTTGGGAACACCAGCAAAAAAACCTATACCAGGGATAACTAATTGAACACCATTTGTTAACTCATGCTAGGTAATAAACATGAGTTAACTGATCAATATTTAAAACCAAACACAATAAACAAGTATATTTTGGAAAATCAAAAAAGCAAAACTGTTAATATAATCAAAAGAGATGGACAGGTAGAAGGCACACAGTTAATCACTTACAAATAGTGGCTTTTCACAATCCAGACCAAATCTTTGGTATACTCAAATTGCATAATTGACTATGTGTATGCAGTCTCCCAGCTGTTCAACAATACAGATAACAGCAGTAATGGTATAATTATAACTTACAGCTGAAGTAGATAAAAACCTGATAGTTCTTAACTAGTGGTTGCAATTAAGAGTGGAGAAGAGCAGCATTCACTGCAACTGCTTATGTTTCATTAATAAAAGTGGATTTTAAAGTTCCAATACAGCAGAGCAGCTGCATGCTGCACCCAAGCCCTGACCTTGTCCCTGTCCCGACAGAAGACAATGACCAGGGGACCCAGCTCGACTTGTGGCAGCTGTAGGAAAAATAGCTCTGTAAGCACTGGTTAAGCAGCAGCTGTAGCTATGGAATGCACTAAATGGAAAGTCAGCAATAAGCACATAAGAGGTTGTTTCCTCCACTCCAAGTGTCACTTTAGTTTTGACCGCATCAGTGGGTTGAAGAGACAGCATTATCATAGAATCACAGAATACCAGGATGGAAGGGACCTCAACGGTCAGCTGGTCCAACTTTTCTAGGCAAAGCATGACCTACATTAGATGTCCCAGCACCCTGTCCAGCCAAATCTTAAGTGTCCAGTGTTGGGGAGCATTACTTCCTTTCTACCAGCTTCCTCTTGCACAGGCAAAGAAATTACACACACTCCTGCGCACACACGTGCACTGCCAGCCCACGGACACAGAGGGGGGAACACCACAAGGCGGGGCACGCAGTTTCTACCCCCAGCAGAAAGCCCGGCGACTGCTGCTGGGCCCCGGGAGGCAGGCCGGCGCTTCAGCACCAGGGGCAGCGGACAGCGGCCGCTCGGCCTGGGCCTCCTCCGCCGCAGGGCAGGAGGCCTGGCCACTCCGCCGGCTGGACCGGCAGCACCGCAGGGACACGCGGGGACACCCATCCTGGCACGACAGTAAAGTCACCAGCAGCGGCAATGCGCCAGAAAACCTGCTCAGTTTAGAATCAGTTAGGGTTTTTCCACACATACCCTGGAGAAACAAATTCACTAGCACTGCACCACATCAGTAAGTTTCAAAAGCAAACCCTGCACCACGAAGCTTCATCAAGTACGAGCAAAAGTGGCTAAACAAATTTTCTAACAGACGTTCGCTTGGAATAGAAAGTTCTCAAACCCAGGCTGCTTGGTCTGTGCTTTCTAAGCAAACAGAAGAGTAAAACCAGCAGCTCAGAAATAAAGCGGGTACCAGCGGCACATTTCTCTTGCTTTTGGCTTGCTCACTCAATACTGGTTGCTAAGCTATTTATTTTATTTTTTTTTTTTAAGCTCAAAACTACTCACTGCCAGATAGATTAATGAAAACACACACTTGCACTACTTACAACATTCTTCATTTATATTTCTTGATACACCAGTACTGTTTCTTTCAAATATTTCTTTTAAAGGAATTCCATTCCCAGGTTTGAAAGTAAAGAGAGACAGGGGGAGGGGAGGAACAGAAAGAAGCTAAGTGTAATTATCAATTTTTTCAGTGGATTGCAGGAAAGAGGCACCGAGAGACTTGCATATCCTCTGGGACTTGTAGCAAAGACAGCATGTCTAGCTCAGCATAGAGATGTGAGGCATCAGGTGACCTGAAGGTACCTTGTTCTTAACTGGTTTACCTATTTATAACTACATGACATAATATTACCTGTGACAGCACAAGTCAGCACAGGGTTATTTCAGCAGTCAACTATATACAACCTCTTTTTATTTACACCTTACACACAGCGATGCACATTCCATTTTCACACTCAGTTCTTTAGAAACTTGGCATCTGGCACTGTCTTCCAACCCATGCCCTGAAATGACACTCAACTTACCTACGGCTTGGTAATTTTTAAGAAATCATGATGTGAAAGAAATAATGACCCACCACACGATGTAATCAACTGCTCCATCAATGGTAAAACCTAACTGCATATTAGCCATTACCAAGGGTGTAATTACAGCAGGGATAATGGGAGGGGGACAGGAATCAGCTCCATCCCCAAACAGAGGATAGAACATATCTCTGTCAGCTGAAAGGGGGAAGGATAGATGGGGGAGACTGCAGCACAGCAAGCAACAACTCTGAGGCAGCTCTTTTCCCTTCACAGCTGGCAGTGAGCTAACAGGCTCAGCATCAAAGGCTGTTACACAGTTGGGTCATTTTGTGCACTGCTGCTCGGACATGAGGGAGGCTGCAATAGAGCTTCCTGGCCACAGATTCTCCCTCTCACACACACACACATGAACAGAGGAAGTCTGGTTTGGCGCACAGAACCAACATAAAGAACTTTCTTTTCCTTTGTTTTTGAGAGGAAGTAAACTCTGATGTAGTTTACTGTTGACAGAGCCCATAAGGAAAGGTCAGGGAAGGACAGAAAACCACAGGCCTATTAAGAAAGAAACAGGATAGTCAACCATGTGCAGGATGAACTGAAGGGGACAGCTAAATCTCAAGGGAACCATGAGGAAGAGGTGGCAGAGAGGAAGGAGCAGTAGTGGAGAAGGGGGGTGGAAAGGTCAGGTAGAGACTTACAGGAGGCTTATCCCAATACCAGGCAGGAGAAGGTGAAAGTAGGGAGCTGGAGGTGTGTTGGTAGAAAGCATTGGGATGTACACCCATGGAGAGTCACAAAAAGTGATGCTGAGGCAACAGGGGACCTCATGAGAGAGAAAAAGTGGACAACACAGGTGCAAGTTTCTTGCGCATTTGTGGCACAAACCCATCAGGTAAGAAGGCAAAGAGCGAGAGGGCAAAAGACTCGCAAAACGCTAAGGGCAGCATCTCCAAGAAGGATGTCAAAGGAACCTGGTGGGGAAGGACAGATCAGGAGTCTCACGGGGAAGTGGTAGCCCGCTCTGCGGGCTGACGGGATGGAGCGTTAGGAGACAGGTGGCTTTGATGGCCCAAATAGCGAAGGGAAGTGGGTGCCAGCGGGGTAAGGGGAGGCCGGGGAAGTGCAAAGAAGCGGGCACCAGTAGAGGGCCGGGCGGTGGAGCCCGGTGAGCCCGCCAGAGCTGGCGGGGGAGGAGGCCGCTGCGCCGGGGGCGGCCCCTTTCCTCCTGCCCCTCTGCCGCGGGGCAGCCGCCACCGGTCCGCGGGAGGCGGTGAGTGAGGCGGGCAGCTCCCCCCGCGCTGTGCCGGGCCGTGCCGGGCCATCCCTCACCTGTGTCGAGGTTGAAGGAGATGCGGGCCTCAGCGAGGTAGGGGGTGTCGCTCTTGGAGCGGACGCGGCGGATGGGTCTGCGGTCGATGTCCTCCTCAGAAGATGCCGCCATTAATGTGGGCACGGTGAGCAGCGTGGCCCGGCGAGCTGGCAAGGGCGAGCGGCCGTGTGGAGTGGCCGGGCGAGGAGAGGGCAGGCGGGGAGGTACGAGGGAGAGAGGCGGGGGAGGGGAGGATGGGGAAGGAGAGAGGGAAAGGGAGAAAGGAGCGCAGGGAGGGAGAGAGAGAGACAGGGAAAACCCGTCAAGGATCTCCGGACGGGAGCGGCCGCGGCCGCCCTGCCCGCTGCCCCTGACCCTCCCCACCGGCAGCACCTCCGCCGGCCGAGCCCCAGGGGCCGCTCGCCTCAGGGCGGCGACCTTCGCTCCGGGGAGTCGGAGCAGTGTCTCCCCGCCCACAGCCCAGGGGAGGCTAGGGGCTGGGTCGCGGCTGAGGGGTCACCCCCACTCCGGCTGAGGTGGTTTCACGCCCCCAGGGCAGGTTCCCAGCTGAGGTGACAGCTGCCCCCACCAAGCACCGTGGCCCGGTTGAGATGCTACATGCCACCAGCATGGCCTGGCTGGCGGAGATGGCACCTCCCGCCGCCGTCTTGGGCACTCTGAAACGCTCTCTTCTAGGCTAGGAGACAGAAAACTGAAAGCGCGGCTGGATTGAGACATGGTGGAAAGTCCGACGGCTAATTCCTTCACTTCCTCCTTGTCTTCCCTTGGGCAAACCCATTAAGTAAACCACAATGGTTCGCCAGGCCAAGCACCTTAAAATGCCTGGCGGAGTGAGGGACCTACACTCAGTGTTTAACACTGGCCATCATTTAGAGCTTGGGTATACACAAGTTATTCTGGCAGGTCTTTGAGAAAAAAGAAACCAACATGACAATATGAAAATATCAGTGAATCCATTCTCCAGCTGCAAAGTGGGAACAACGTTTTGTTCCTTCTGCCCTGTTCTGTCTTCTCTATTTAGTAATCAGCAATTTATGTAGAAGTTCTGCCTCTGTGGCTGTGGGCTGCCTGCCATGTTAGGGCACAAGTTTCAGTTGGGACTTCTAGATGTTGGTGTAATACAAATAATTGAAAATGCTATTAAAGAAAAAAAAGAAGTGTAGCACAAAAGTGCTACACAAAGTGAGAGTTAAACAATTAAAGTGTGTGCCAGGGAGCGTGTTGGTTCATCCCATTTAACCCAGATTTTTTAAAGAAAACCCAGTCTGCTTAAAGTCACTAAGTTGTCAGTACTTCCAAAATCTATTGTTTTGGTCAACCTCAGTGAGAAAAATGACCAGGGAATGCCAGGGCTCAGTAACTCTGAAGGCAATGATAGTAGCATTAGCTGATCTGAATTTTGGGTGACAGCTGTGTTAGTCTTTCCTGTAGAATAAAGAGTTTCTGTCACACTTTTGCAAATTGAACCTGTAGAGGGTTTGGGGTGTGCTGAATGTTCTTCCATGGTCATGATATTGGGTTCAGCTGGTCTGCTGTTAGTTCTAATCCCTTCATGACTGTTCACAAGAACTTCCATGGTTTTGGGTGCCAGGAGTGGACAAGTTACATTTTTATCTTGTTTGCAAACCCATTCTCTTTTGCTCTGACCTCACAGACTCACCCTAGCTAAAAGAGGGGAAAATAGTACTTGCAGGAGAATCTTGGAAAAGATCCCTGTTCATACACATGCAGGTGCTTGTAGTTAGACAGCAGTGACATCCTTGGATTTCTGGTGAACCATCATGCTACTTGAGAAGGAGGTACCATCTGGTCCATCTGCATCTCAAAAAAAAGTCTTTAATTAACATCATGTGGTGTTTGGGGTGGTCTTACCATTATCAAGGTTGAAGCAGATCCTAGCTTCTTCCAAGTAGGGAGTGTCACTCTTAGACCGAAGTCTTCTGATGGGTCTCCGGTCTATGTCATCCTCAGAAGATGCTGTCATCAGAGTGGGCACGGTGAGAAGAGTTGCCCGACGAGCTGGTAAAAAAGAACAAACGAGGAGGAGGATAGCAGGAGAAAGGAGAAATGGGAAAAGGGAGGAAGAGGGAGTAAAAAAAAAAAAAAAAATAAAAATGAGAAAAAAGGAAGACAGAAAATCACTCAGTGGAAAAGAGGCTCTGTAGCAGGTGCAAGAGGCTGTTTGCTTAAGGTCACTGCCTCAGGTGCTGCAGAACTTAAGGGCTGTGCTGAATGATATGAAAAAGAGAAAAGATTTCTATGTTGTATGCCCCAAAGACACAGGTTATAGCTCAGTTCCTGCCACAGACTGCTAGTTTTGCCACTTGAACCACTCTTTTCAGAGCTTCTCAATAGCTGCAGTCTTTTTCTGAATACTGTTTTTGAGGCTGTGATGCCAGAATAATGGAAGTATTTGTTTGCTTGATTTGCAGAAATTGATGGAAGCTGTGCTTGGGACATGTGATGTGGTGCCTACAGCAACTATTCCAAAACTCAGTTTCTTGTTATCTTGATTTGGGTATTCAAAATTAACAACTACTTTTGCTCTTGATCACTTTATGTCGTAGTTTCTTAGCTGTGGAACAGGGAGAATCACTATTTTCTTTCAGCAGGGATTCCATGAAAAGATAAATTTATTAATATTTGTAAAGTATTCATATATTTTAATTAAATGACGATGAAAAGCCCATGAGGAAATTAAGATTTCTATCTTCTGTACCGGGTTTAAATGGCTTGGGCAATGCCTTCAAGGAGGAGAACACAAAATATTTAATAGTGGCTCATTAAGTAATACTGCCCACTCCATGCATTGATAAAGCAAATGGTAGGATAGTGAAAAATTTGTGTCATCATATAACTAGAAACCATACTATAATACATATGTGTAAGGCGACTGAATTAATGTTGCAGAGGCCACCTTCATTCTGCCGTTGCCTAAGTATTTAGCACTTGAACTTAAGCCTCAGTAACTTCCCTCTAATGTAGGTGGGTTTTATGGGAAATGCAATTATGAGTGACTGTTGAATGCTTTGGGTACTGAGCCTATAAATGACAAATCACAAACAGAGGAGCCTCCATAAATACATCCACCTTAATTCTCCCTCTGAGTAGAAAAAGATTGTCACAAATGCTAGATGGATCTGGCTGATCACTGAAAGCATGAGCACAGTGCAAAAGTACCTGCTCATTGTATTTCTTTCCCCTCCACCTCATATATAGCTGGAAAAAGGATTTCAGCTTGAAAGCCCGTCCTTACGCTTAATGCTATTAACATTAACTTTCACATGGGAACCTGTAAGAGCCTAAACCCTGGGTGTTTCTTGCTCTTTGGACATTATCTGGCTTAAAAGTCTTTATCTTAGAGATTCTGCAAACTCTACACTTCCAATAACTAATTATGAACTATATTTTCCTGCTGGGACTGGAGAGCATGACTGATAATGAGTAAGAGCATATTCTGCAGCCTGATAACTGTGATTCTTTCTTTTAAGAGTTTTTTAGAGTTACAAATTATACCTGTCAATCAGAAGCCTTCAGCGTTAGGTAAGATAGCATATAATTAGTATGAGTTAGCAAAGCTGTCATATCTATTTTTCAATTTGCAGCTTTATGCAGTTTACTAAACAAGCAAATCTCTGCTGCTGGAGGTAGCAGTTATTTCTGGTCTAACTTACTTGTTTCCTGGTTTTAAATAGATTCCTTTCAAGTTTTTGCTCATTTCTAACCTAGCATTTGAATTTGAAGTAAAAAGAGAGGGCAAGCATTGAAATTGATCTAATGGGGTCAACTATTCAGATTAAGCTAAAGTAAACACTGCAACTAGACTGTAAATTATTACTCCCTTGTAATATGGATGTACAGTAATGAAGATAGAATGGAAAATTTCTGCTATGGAGAATTTTGTGTACTGCATCATCAAATTTACACTTAAGGAATTTTCATCTGTATACGAAGTCAGGATTGTAAAAAACATCTCATAAAACAACCATGTATAAGATTTGGTTTTTAAAACTGGAATGATCTAGGTGTAGTTGAAGTCAGTGAAAGTGCACCCATGTATTTCAGGGTTGTCTGGATCACAGCACGTGAGTCTATTTGAAAAAAAATTCAACACCAAATTTCATATACATTTATAGTTAACAGAGAACAAGTGAGATTTTCTGTGTAATTGTTTATAAATAATTTTTACCTTTTGGGTCAAAATATTGGGATCTGGCTTATATTCGTTTTGACTAGAAGGAGGTGGATGGTGAAAAATGTTTCCTGGAGTAATCATTATATATTACTTTGACAATCATGATTATCTCTCCTTTATGGGTATTACTGAAAGGAGTTGTCAAGAATGACTGGAAATTTGAAGTAAACATTGGAAAAAACTCAGAGAAAGCTAGTAAGTATTAAAATGGTTTGCAAAAAAACCTAAGATTGAGTCTTACGCAGGCACAGAACTGGAAAGTATCACTGATCATGTTCTGGTATACATACAGTGATGATGAATATTTATGTATGCGATAAATTTACCTCTTTTCTTAACTGTAATCTATAGCACTCCTTATTACAAGGATGATTTACCAAATATTTCTTAGCAAAGCTGTCAACAGTTGCCCAATGTGACTACTGGGTCCACTCCAGGTAACCCAGCAGTATCGCTGTTTTGAACTGCTCTCCACAAAGCAGCTCAGTCTTTAGGATGCATTTTTAGGAGACGGCTTTTCAGAAAAATGTGAAAGTGTCCTCCTGAAGGTCATGAAGCAAAGGAAGGACATTATGATACACATTAAGGGGCCCCCTTACACTGGAAATGGATTTGAGACCAGTGTCCAAAAACTCCTTTTCAGCAGAGACTCTAACAGGATATGGAAAACGAATCAGTCATTTTGGTTAAATTCTTTCATTCTCTTTGCATTGTTCCTCATAGTGTTGCCCCACAATTGGCACGTTGTGTCAACTTCTTGCCTGTGGTTTGTTAGAAGGGAAAAGGTTTCTTATGCAGAAAACATACCTTAAAAATAGAAATGCTGTAATGAATGTAATGACACCTTAGAACCAATTGTATAAAATCTGACATTTGTTGTCTCAAAATATTGTCAGTTACTGAAGTACAATGCAACTATACGTTTGTGAGAAGGGAATGTGAAATATGTAAATTATTGCATTCCATGGTCAGAGACATTTTCAAAGTACAATTTCAATATATTTAGTTAAAACTACAGGTCACCCAGGTTTTGAATGACATTTGAATTTACTGAAAAGATGGAGGCACTTTGCAAAGAATTTTTGATGGTTTCAAATTTTTCTGTTAAAATACATTTCCACATATTTTAATAAAAATACTACTACTAATTCTTGTTTGCCAAGAACTAGCTTTATGTTTTGAAGAGTTACAGTATCGATTTTCTTTTAAGACTTGTATTGTTTAGAAAAATTTTGGACATTTTAAAGTTGGAAAAAAATCCAAGGTAAAAAGCTATCCTCATAAAAATTAGAGAAAACATGAAATATTAATATATATTTTTTTAATCCACTTCTAAGAATTGACTTTTATTAAATTGTTTTTAAAATATCTCATTGGTGACACAGATATCCTGCTCATTTTTGGCTCAATAAGGTCTTCATCCAGCAACCCTTATTTAAACAGCAGATTCTTACCTCAAAATGCAAAATCGTTTGAGACCTGATGATTTTAGTCTTAGTACAAGAGAAGTGCTGAAATGTTTCTGTTGGAGATGTCCACACCTAGGTGCATCGCAACAGGTCTATTTCTGAAGCATATTATCACAAGGAACTTCAGGTAACATGGAAATAACTATAAAGGAATCTGGTTTACATCAGAAATCTTTAAGGCTTTTTTTTTTTTTTTTTTTTAGTAAAATCTCATTTCTCAGAGCAAATTTTGAACAATTCTGCAGAATATTTATGAAAATATTTTAGTTGCAGTGCTGCTATTGCTGATTAATTAGGATACTTTCTTGATACTTTTTTTTTTTGGTAGAGAAAAATATGAGCTTCTTACTCAGTTCTCCTTCATGCTTTGTAGAAAGGGCTCACCATGTAGATAACACACACAGAAATGTATTTTTGGCTGCATGTAAACTTTAAAAATGCTAGTTTGGGTACAGTTTGATGCGCTTACAACATGATATTCCAGCTATGCTAAAAAGAAAAAACGTTAGATTGCAAATATTCTTCTGTAAAGGCAGACCAATTAATGGGTTCAAATGGATGTTTACCTGGAAAATAATCTTTTGGTGGGATTTAATGTGACTTCACTTTTGTCTTATTTTAAATGCAACTGATAAAGAACACCATTTGAAGGATCAGAGATGGAAAATGAGGCACGGCAGGCAGGAGGGGAAGAGAGCAGAACATGTGCAAGCACTGGAGAGGACATAATTTGTCATTTATGAAGAATGATTGTGTCTCCCAGATAAACAGAGAAGCACATGCGTATGGATTGCTCCACGTCTGTAAAGCAAAGCTGTTGAGATCTTTGACACCGCTTTGATAGACACCAGTAATCTGAAAGAAAGTACTTGGATGCATAGTATTCAAACACAGGCCTGAGGGTTGCAAACAATAGTATGCATGCGAAAGGATATCCACTTTCACACTCATGCTCGTTATGCTGGTTTATGGTACTTGGATAGATGTCTGCAATATGCCTAAGTAGCATTTTTTGCTACATTTTAAAGGAAACATGCTTGTTCCTCTGCTGTTGTGTCCAAAAGCATAGGTTTCAGAAAGCAGACTATTAAAAATAAAAAAATAAATCAGCTAAATCATTGTGAAATAGGGGCAAGAGGAGGCGTAGTTATTTAAAATTAATTTTTAGTAGAAAAAAAAAATAGATCTAGTTTTCAGAATGTAATCTTTCAAGTGTGATCCATGCATAGATTTTCTGAAATTTTTTATATTTAGGGGTATAGAGGACTGGATCTGAAATATCCTAGTTTTATTCAGATATGCCATGGAGAATTAGAAGATGATTTTTTCTCCTGACTTGTATTTGGCTGACTGGATATTGAAATAAATGAACAAAAAGTAGCTGAAGTACAGTTACTGCAGCTCATCATGAGCTATTTTTATGCAGTTGGTGAAGCTAGGCTGCCTGACTGCAAAGCCAGAGACTCTGATCCTGGCACTCAGTTGCCTGTTCCTGAATTCTCAATACTGGGGATATGCCAGAGTAGGAGGTGGGAAGGGGTGCGTGTGGGGGAGAGTTTAAAAAAGATGAGGCAAGATTGATGTTAAAAGGTTACTTCATGGGATTTAAGGGGAGAGAAATTGCATCAGAAGTGCACATTTGCTGCTACTAATTCTTCTGTTATTAGCCTAAGAATTAGTGACATCACATGAATAAAAAAAAACAAACCCTGCAAAATAACATAACTTTGAAAATATGTTAATCTACAGGGTGATTAATCATAAAATTGGTGGAGTGTCCTAATGTTACTTTAGCCAAGGACAATCTTCAGTGGAATCTTTCTGGATTAGGATCTGGGGATACCGCAGCAATACACTTTTGTAAAATGCTGGACATTCAATATGCAAAAGCAGAAGGGAAGTAGTCAGCAGTGATTAAAGTCAAACATCTAGAATGATTCAGCAGTGTGGGAATTAAAATAAATGAGCAAAAGTGAAGTACAGTGAAATAACTGTATTTTGAAGACAGAGTGCAAGAGGAAAATGTGGAATTAAAACTGTACCTGGGAGTATTTTATTAAACCTTGAAAGCTGATCAAGAAGAAGGATTTGCAGAAATCTTTTGAATAATTATCCCCTATCTGTCTATACAGTCTTATGCATCTGTTACCCTTGGCTCTATGTGCTCTATTTTTATTTTCATATTTTTTCTACTTAACATTTTTTATTCACTCCTTACATTCATCAAGTAGATTGCAGGACTGTTGCAACCAGTAAGAGCACATCTAATGTAAATGGATCTGTAAATTATTTATAGATACAAAAGATAGTTTAAGATAAACCTTCAAAAGAGTTTTGTTCAGTTATTTAAATAAGCACAGTGTATCCTGCCAAATGGACTAGCAAGCATTTCAAGGTATGGAGGAGCCTCTTGTAAATACACAATTAATGCAGTTAACTTTAAGCTGCTGTGCCCTCCTGGTGCAAAAGGAGACAAGACTGGAGAAATGGATGCATACATCTCCAGTATTTTTATCCTTGAGGCAGAAGTCACCCTAGAGCAGAACCCAGAGTATGAGCAGCGACCAGATGGTCTGACTCTAGTGCAAAGGTAGACACATGCAGCCGCAAACGGTATCCTGGCTGCACAATGTTCAGCCTGTCCTGTCAGGCTGTGGTGTGGGGTTGCTAAAGGTACCAAGAGAGGGTGTGAGTCTTAGGACAGCTTCCATCAATCAAACTCATGGCTGCAGAAAAGTGCTATGCTCAGTCTGCGATGGGGAACTCCCCTGTTACGATGATACTAAAGCCTTCATCCTGCCTACTGGGCAGAAGTCCTTCTTCACTCTTAGTTTGTCCAGGGGGCTTCACGCCCTTGTATATAATGGAAGAGAAGGGTTCCTCATTTCTTAATCCTGATCAAGCCTAGGTGAGAGCTAGGTATCAACAGCCATGGCCCTACTTGTGGTCCCTGCACACAGTGCAGTTGGATATGCTCAAGGCAGGCTCCCTGACATGGCACAGCTGTTGGAGACAATGGCTTAAGAATGCCTGATCAGCTTTAGAGCTGTTTGAGAAAGTGGCAAGAAGCCTCAACAGCTGCCTCCTTCCTTCCTTTTGGGAGCTATGTTTGCACTGTGGCTGTTGCCCACCTGCTGAGCAAGGCTGTGCCTGGCTACGTTCCTCACTGATCTGCGTCCAAACTGCTGACTTGGATGTCCTGCTTGGCCTCATACCTGTCTCGTCACCATGGTCTTGTCCAACAATCTGAACTCTTGGCTGAACCCGGTGACTGTCACCAGACCTGACCTGCTTGCATGCTGCAGTGTTTTACCTCTCATAGGCAAGACCACTGCTTCTGCCCTTCTTGCTGACTCTTGGCTCACTTTCCATTAAGGAGCAGCTTGCTTCTGCTGCTCCTCAGTACCAGCCTTCTCAGCTCTGTCAAATATGAGGTCTTTCTTTCCATGCCCCAAAGCATAACTTCTTTCAAGTAGAACTTCAAGATCAAAGCTGACCTGTCTCCAAAGCAGGCTACATCCATGGGATGGGACCTGCACATTTACAGCCTTAGATTACAGCTTGACCTATTTGGGGGAAGTTACTCCCTTTCCTGAATTAGGTCTCATCTCTCAACACGTGAGTCCTCTGTGCAAACAAATGCCATTAGCATAGGCATCTTTCATTCAATTTAGCTGTCTAGGCTTTCATAATCAGTAGAGAAAATAAGGCAGGATTTATATTATCCCAAGGAAGATGTCTAAGATTAGGTGAACCCTGCTCTTAAAATGACTTTCTTTCCACTGATACATGCCAGACTAGTGAGAAGTCTTACGTGGAAACATCTTCACTGAGAACACCTAAGGAATACGCGAGTCAAATCCTGTTCCAAGTCCCACTGTATGCATTCAGACCTCATGGCTGAAAGCTATGGTAGATTTGGATGTAGAATACATGTATATCCAAGAATAACTAGCATCTTCCACACACTTCAAAGGGAAGAGACTTTTGATAAGTGAAGTACATCTCCATGCCTAGATTTCAGATTCAGACTTTCCTAGGGAAAGGGCCTGAGCCCAGGGGATCACAGTCCCTTCTTTCCTGCTTCTGACTTGCAGATGCGTCAGTAGGCATTGAGCACTTGGCAAGGACACCCCCTATTTCCTAGATCCCAACATACAGTCACAGAAAGACAGTCAGGGAGAACTGCAGAGTTCAGGATATTTCTGGCTTGTTTCTGAAGACTAAAGCCAGCTGGCTTCATTTACAAAGTTTTTTAAATCTAGATAATCCTACTGCCAGATCCAGCTTTTGTGACTTTTCCATCCCTCCTGCTTCACTTTCCTTGGAGGAAACAGGCAACAGCTGTTTGAATAGGAGATGCAGCCTGAATGGCCAAACATCCTCTGTACTGTGTTCAGCCCACGGGAGTAAGGTGATGGCTGCTTCTGCAGAAGGAGAAGATGGGAGAGGAGGCAGCTGATTAAGCTAACACCTCTCTCCTCCTACCCTACAGCAGAAAAGGCAGTTCTGCAGCTTTCTGCAGGAGTAGGGATGAGGTGTGGGTGTTAGTGCAGGCAGGAAGAGATTGAGAACTGGTTAGTTGCTGGGGACCAAAACCCTGTTTCAGTCCGTTTGCTGAGGTCAGTGTCCTGCATTCAACTACATGAGACATGTTGTCGTCTGGGATTTGATAACATCTGCTAACAATGCCATCACAGCTCTGACGTCCTTCCCAACATTTTACGGTCCTATTCCTTCCCTTTTCCTCCACCCACAAGGAGTGGGTACAGATAAGAATGAGTGCTTTACAACTGCCATTTGTAACATTGTCATATCATTAATGTGAAAACATTGGAAAGGATTTTTTTTTTCTTGATTTGTAGGATCAAAGGATTAGAAAGCAGAAATCTTCAAATCTCACAGAAAGAGTAAGTGGGTGATAAACCCCCATTTTACAGTCTGTAAACAGAGTATTTTCTAATGCAGTAGCTAATAATATAATTAAAGTAATAATAATAATAATACATATAAGATGCTCTAATGCTGTTTCTAATTAAATGGCAGAACACTAGTCTTCTTTCACTCATTCCTGTCATAATGCAGTTTTAATGCATATACACATGCTGTTTGATAGCATGACTTGCTAAGAGCATCATGTTATTATATAAAGATCAAACAGTTACTTGTGATCCCATTCGGAAGATCTGGGGTAATGCTTTCTTGCAGACCTTCTATTCAGTTCCAAACCAGCTACTTGAGCTGTGCTGTTTGTGGTGGATGGGTGCCTCACATTCAGTGCATTTTTTGTTTGGTTTTTGGGTTGTGTTTTTTTTTCCCCAGAAACTTATAGCTAACACAGCTTAACTGTAATAAGGCGGATAAGGAAAGAAATATGTTATTTTTGCCCATGTTTCGAGAAATCATGCCATAATCTCATATAGAAATGCCTGTTCTTTGGAAGACAGCCTTGAAGTTTGGCACAATGTACAAGGACAACAGGAGTTATCAGAGCTGTGCAGGCAGTAACAATTCACATTCAGTAGGGTTTAGTTCCTTCTTGTGCATGGGGGTAAGATAGCTCAGAGAAAGGGGATGCTACCATCAAGAAGTCTGGGGCTAAGGATGGTGATAAAGGCAGTTGCTACAGGAAAACCTGATGATGAAACTCTTCCAGAGATTTATAATTTATCCTGCTGAAGCCATCTCTGTCACCTCAGAGGTGCTCAGTGCTACCTCAGACAGTGAAAGCCTCCTGAAAGCTGTCCACCTCTCTCTGCACAGGCCACACTTCTTCTGGCACACCTATTGCTAGCAGGGTTGTCCATCCATCCTTCCACTCCAGCATCTCTCCTGTTGCCAGGGGGCTGCTGTGTTGCACCATTTGACAATGTAGAGCAGAAGTGTTGTCACTTCTGTGCTTAGAACAATTTCCCTGCTTGTTGGAAAGCAGCTGACCTCAAAAACAGACAAAGACAGAGTTTGGGGGAGAGGTCTCACAAGCATGTGTGGCGAGAGATGTAAAGGACAGGAGCTAGGGAAAATTCAGCAAAAGGAGCAAAAAGAAAGGTGAAAAGTGGAAGTAGGCAGAGCATAAGTGCAGCCTGGCTCTTATGTCAATGTATTGTTTCCACTTGTGGAAGTAATTAGGGTTTAGGAGCCTTTGTACTATGCTGTGGTGCACAGTGGAAGCATGTCATTGGCATCTTTCCTGAAACATTCACAAGCAGTGGGACAAAAAAATCCCCAGGTCACAGTGTTGGTTCCTACTTGTTTTGGCCAAGGGATAGAAACCCACATGACAGATCTAAAGGTCAACCCCCTGCTGATGACTTTTGTATCAAAGAATATAGTTCTGCATGGTGGATTTTCCCCCCTCATTTTGCATTTTAAAAAGGCAAAATAATTGCATTGAAACACAAAATCAAGCAGGTGCTAAGGTTAAAATTTCAGTCATGCGTCTAACCAATCAGTACAAGCATTTCTATATGTACTAAAAATGCCATTTCTCCAAATATGGGGGTTTTTCAATTGCCTTCTTGGAAATGCTTACAGTGAAGGTTGTGTATACAACCCTATTAGTCACTTTGTGTACATTACTGTAATAGACTTTCATTGCAGGAATACATACTCCTTCTGTAGTTCCCTCTGTACCCTGTAGTTCACAGGGATGCTGTCAATATATTGCTATAGCTTGTAAAACAGTAAGTTGCAGATTCATTAATTTTAGTTTCTATAAAAGAGAAGGTTTGTTCTCAAGGGATATTGAGGAACTTAATATTATTTCTGTAGCAACCCTCAAGTGTCTATTGCTTTTCAGAGATGGAGAAAAAGCCAGCAAAATCAGTTAGTGCCCCAGCCGTTCCCCCCCCCCCCCCCCCGATTTTGATGTGCTTAGCATTTGCCTCTGTTGTTCAATGCAGGAGGCTGTGCTGTGACAAGAAAGCTTTTCTGTGACTTGTACAGATGAAAATCTACCACAAGTGGGACAGCAGCTGGGCAATGTAGTGTGTGTCAGGCAGCAGCACCTCTGCTGAGCCAAGGCGGTACTGACCCCCATGGTGGTACCTCCCTGGGTGGAGCAGGTATTGCTCTGGGAGAATGGCCTCCACAAGAAAGGCAGAACTCTATTGGCTGGACTTTGAATTTCATCAGCAAGTGATGAAATTAATAAATGAAAAAAAGCTGGATTACATTTCCAGAGAACAGGCAGTATGTATTAACAAAAAAGGCTGGTAGAGCTACTTGGTTCTCAGTTTTCTTCCATTTAATACTGTGTTTAAAGCTTAACGAACAAAAAACCCTTCTCTCTGAAGTTGCAAATTTTATCCAGAAATAGAACTGGTGAGAAAAACATGAACTGACTTTACCAAAAATATCATCTGTGTCGTGAACAAGTCTCAACTACATTAAAGCAAAGAAGCTTGATTACTTTTTCCCTCTCTCACACTGCTGCTGCTTGGAGTGGGGGGGATTTCACAGGGAAGGATGCAAACCAGTGAGAGCCTGCTGGTTACATACAGCATGCTGGACTGCCTCAGAATTTCCCAAACCAATTCCTGCAGTGCTGACTAACACCACATTATGATCCTGACAGCAGCAATAAGCAAGGAAGAAGGGGAAGGACACCACATGTTTACATATCTAGCAGCAGGCCATTGCTGTCCCCTCTGACTTGTCCATTTCGACTCTGCAACAGCATATTCTGGATCTTGGCAGTTCCTTTTCTTCCTGCTGCACACCCAACAGCTTTCACACCTTTCCTTATCCTCTGAGAGTGCAGATCAACCCTATCATTACTCCTGTAATTCATTTCACAACTCATACATTTTTAATGCCTTTCCCTGTGGCTTTTGTACACTTTGGTAGGTCAGCCACAAGGACTGGCCCTTGTCTGGCCTTATACATCTTAACTGTACAGTTAAAATAGTAATTTTCTGAATCAGTACCAGAGTTTCTTACCTTGAGCTCCTTGACTGTAAAACAGTCTCTGAGCAGACTCGACATCCAAAAAGTAGTCCATTTTGAAGGAACTTTATATCTTTATACACTACTCCGGTATGGCTGATCAGTCAGATTCCTGGGAAAGATTACAGAGATGTTAGACAGAAAAAAGCTAGTGAGTTTCTTTGTGGAAAGAATTGTGTAGGCAGTCACTGAAGTACTTCATTTGGCATATTAGGGTCAAATAATTTTCAAATCACTATTCATAGAACTTCATAGGTGTCCTTTTCTATTTTAGGGTGTTTGCTTTAAATCCTTGTCTGAAAACATTAAAGGCAAGTCCTACTGCAGTTATTAGCACGATTCCTAGTTCCACCACCTTTATGCTAGCCACAGTCTCAATTTCATATACTACGTACTTAGATTCACCTGCCTGTTACATTCGTTCTTAGAAAGACGATCAGAAAAGCTTGGGGCAGGGAACTCCTTTAGCCAGATTCAGAGCTGGCACCTCCTGAGTAAGCACTACTGTAAAAAAATACATTAAATATAGCATCTGTGCTGCTTATTCCTTTCTAGTGCACTGCTTTGGCATATACAGTATTCTGGATATTTTATTCCATCTAAATGACCAGAAGCCAACCTTGCCTTCCCTCTCCCCTTGTATCGACCAGAAGTAGCAACAGAACATCCCACCATCCATTTTAAAAAATGTGATAAGAGCAATCATTAAGAAATGTTAGGCTACTCCTAACACAGCTTCTTAGCTAAGGTTTATATGTTTGGCATTCTTCTGAAACTCAGATCTGCCTAGATCCTAGAATACAACTGTTCAAGGTGCACACTGAGTCAGGTTTGCCTCTGCCGGACAGAGTTCCCAGGATTATGCACACTATCATGACCCTTCTCCAGTCTTCTTACTACCTTCTGCATTTTATTCTACTGTGAATAACTTGCAGAAAACACACAATCTTGTTCTCTCATCCACACCTCAGTTAGCTACAGTATATAATCATAAGCATACAAACAGCTCTGCACAACATTTATTTTAAGACAGACATACAAAAATACCTCTAGTCCTTTTCCGTGCAAACCTAGCAGAAAGGTTTGGGGCAGGAATCTGACCCTTGCTTCAAGTAATTCTTTTAATTACATTGGCAAAAATCAGAAAATCAGGGTTCCAAATCTTCCCCTTTTCCCTTCAATTCAGTTTTCATCGATCAAAATGCAGTCCTTCCTAAAATTCAGAAGCTTGTCCTGGTAAAAAAACTTTCAAAATTCCTCAGCATTCACTTTACTGTAGCACTCCCAAACCAGAAACGATACTTACTTCAGAGTAGTGAGAACTGCCTGGCAGCGGTGTAAGCTCCAGTAGTTGCAAGGAGGGTTTCTTTGATCTTACTAAATGTCCCCAGTGTAAGCAAACAATTTTGATTGTTTGATTGGAACTCTGATGAATAATGCATAACGTCAACTGGACTTCCTTTATCAGATAAAAATGGCCAGGAGATGTTGTTACTTAGCAACAGGAGGTGACACTATGATCATCTCCCCTACTCCCCCTCACCCTTCATCCTGAAAAATTAAGCCCCTGGTTTTAATTCGATAAAAACTTTCCCAAGAAAAAAAAAATCTACATAATTTCCCTAACAATTTGTTTTTCACTCTGATCTTCCTTGTTGTATCTCATATTCTGATATTTTTTTCTTTCATAATGATTAACCATAACATTATATTTTGTCTAATAATTTGCTTTCAGTAAGTAAAATCTACCTTCTCTACCATTTACCAGAAGAGTAATGAGATTATTAAATGTTTTGCTATGCACATGATGCAAATAACATCTTGAAGAGATTCATGTCTTATCTGGTACTGCTTGTTGAACCAGGCAGACAGAGAAAGCAACACACAAAATGTTCCAGTGATGCTATGAAATATACAGATTATCTAGAAACCTTTCCTATTACAGAATTCCTACTTTAAGTAATTAATTCATTCTTGAAGGAGCTCTAACATCTGATACAAGCATTCTCAAGGAATCACTGCGTTTCTGCTTAAGATTCAGCATTTTACAAAATACACGATGTAGGGTTTTTTTCAGGAATTACACACTGATAAAAAGCCAAAGCACTGTGAAAGATCTTAAAAATAAATAAATAAAAATCAGATGCAGGATATAAGTACTTACCAGTGTTACTGACCTCTTTCCATCCTACTGTCATGGAATAAGACTAAGTAAATGCAACCCAGTCTGTGAGCCAGAATGAACAGCTTCTAATTTTCACTTCAACCTCGAAATCAAGAGTACTGAATAGAGAAAGGTGACGGATCTGCTGTTTTATATTATGATGAAATGAAAGCTCTTAGCACAGATCTGAGTAGAACTGGCTTTTTTTTTTATATACTACATTAGCTTGCTAATTTGAGGAAAGTGAAAGGCTTTGTTTTACTGTCTTTTATCTGTTCTCTTTGCTACCCCCACAATTTAATTTGCATTTAAAATTGTTCTTATGTCTCCACTGCACTCCAAGGTATGGAGCGTTTTCTAATCACGATGAATGTTCAGTGGTATTTGTGTAATGCCACTTTTATTCTGAGCCAGAAACATGGTGAGTAATTATAATTGCCAGCTATTTTCTAGAATGAAATACAGAGTGGTTGCCTGATGCAGTTTCTGTTTTTTTCCTCCATTTAGCTGTACATTGCAACAAACTAGTCAGTCAAAGCATCAGTAAAAACATAAATCAAATAGCATAGTGTCATGGCATGATAGCTTAAACATGCATAGCCATAGATCATGAAAGCAGAACATGTTTTTACTGAGATCTTTTCAATTATAATTTGCTTTTCCCATATCAGAAATGGGATTGCATGATTAATAAACTGAAATATAGCACAGTTGTTTTTTGGTGGCTTCCGGTTCATCTAGTTTAGCATTATTGAAGCTGCACAGTGTTTGGAATCCTGATGAAGGCAGGCACTAGGGGCTAACAAGGGCCATGCTATCAAGTTGCGCAGGCATCCCTCACAAGAGGGCCAGGACCCCGTTTCTTCCAGCAGGTCTTAGTGTAGTGATTTTGGAAGTGGATGAGAAATTGAAGAAGGCAGTGATAAAGTGATGCTTTGATAAATTTGGACCAGGAAGTTCTGGCCAAGTTGAGTGTCAGAAAGTAATCAAGCTTCGTCTTCCCATATTTGCCAATACTCTGCTTAAAAGATCATGTGTAAATGTCTTCTGAAATCCATTGCCACCAAATGTTACTGGTGTTCAAAACTGTGGATTCTGAAAGGTTAGATTTTCATTCCAGTATAAGAAAACTATATATCAACTAGCAAAGGTGGGTTTTCTGGCTTTTAAGAAGAAACACAAGAAGATATACCCTCAGAGTACATTTTGTTTTTTTAGTACACTTTAGAAAGTAAGAATCTCTGTGGGCAGATTACTCCATGGGTTTCCTCTCTTAAGATTTCTTAAATGATTCTTCAAAGCACCCAGACAGTATCAAAGATAAGGGTGAGCTATATGAACTACAGGTAGAATCTGGTATGGCAGTTCCTATATTGGCACCCCACTAAATATGGTTGTATTAAGTAGGCGTCTCAGTGCCACCTAAGTTGTGGATCTGGCTTATGCAAAATGTGTTCCTATTTTGAGAGGTGTGACAAACATTTTCATTCCTAAACAGAAATTAAAGCAAAACCAAACAACAAGAACACTGCAAGCCACTTTCTTTGCATCTTGGAGAATTACTAGCACCTTCCCTTTTTGCATTTTGGAGAGTTTGTATTTGCTGTGATGACTACTGAATAATAGGTCCCTCCAAGCTGGTTCCATTTTCTATGGACCAGGGGCCATATGCCTGTTTAGCCAAGCTGACTTTCTTCAACAGAAAGCCAGAAAAAAAAAAAAAAAAAAAAAAAAAGACTGGCAATACAGAGATGCAGAAGGAAAAATGGAAGTCAGGAACACTCTACCTCTCTTGCTCCAAAGATCGTATCTGCTTCTTCGCAAGCAGTATGGAATATGGCTTTTAAAATACAACCTTGCATGCTGGAGAGTGGTTTATAACACCTGTCCTTCAGCCTTTGGTGTGTCCTTCTGATTCTCTTTGCCATCACCCTTTCAATCTGCATCGTCATCTTCCACTGTGACTGAGAAGTGCAGTATTGAAATCACTAGTAGCCTCTCTACTGACCATTCCAAAATTATCCATCTAGATACTTTCATCCATCTCAGGGGTTTACAGTTCATTTTGAATTATAATGCAGTTTGACAGCTGCTAAGAGCTCTCTCTGGCTAGGGGATACTTAACAACAAGGAAGATAACAATGCATGTATATTTATATGCTTCTGTGGCATTCATCACCATGAGGGAAATCCTTGCCTGCTGGTTACAAAGTCTTTAGGACAGGATTGTGGACTCAGATTTGAGCTGCAGTCCTGAAAGAGCTCTACCCTTAGAAAAGGAAATCCATTACCTCCAGCTGAAAAGCCTACATGTCTAGAAAAATGTTCAGGTAAAACAGATCTGGTTTGAGTTAGGTATGATCCCCAGAGGAGGCTTCCAAAGAACAGCAGAGCATCTCAGGGGGCAGGACAGGGAAGAACAACAGTAGCTCGAGGCAGGAACTGTACTCTACAGCTCTCTGAATGCTTCCTTGTGCTGTGTCAGAAGCCAAACTTGCAAAACTTCTGCTTTTGATTGGACCTCTTATCAACACAGATCCCTGCTCAAGGTAACAGGTGCAATGGTTTTATAACATACACAGATACCTACAGAGGTCTAGACTGAACTCTGTGAGCCAGACCACAAAACCAACTTACTAACCTCTGCTAAAGAAATACTTGGAATAAAGCTGTCACACTTTGGAGAAATCTGAAGCCATCTGAAGCCAGTTCTTCACCATGAGCTTAAGTAACCTCCTGCAGCACATCTGACTTTCCCCCCCCCCAAAAAAAAAGGCAAAAAACCAAAACCAAAAAACCCACCAAAACCAACAAGCAACAACCCAAAACCCTCAAGGGGAAAACAATTGAACACTTGGCATTTAAAAGGTGCGAGTAGCCTTCCGGTTTTCTAAGTCAGATGCATGTAGGCATAGGGTTGGGTTTTCTCCCCTATCCTGAACTCTCTATTGAGAACATAACTGCTACTGTAATGACTCAGAGCCTTGGAGAAAAAAGTCTGCTGCTGACAAACACTAATATTAACCTGAAAGAAAGTGGGAGAGAGAATGTAATATGTGACTGAAGAAGTGTAGGCAAGGTGATTATTACAGAGAGTTGCTTCCTGCGGTATACAGTCAGAATAAAGAAAGAATATAAAAGTTTAAGCCCCTAAGCTATGAAAAATGTTGTTTTTTTTTAAATTATAATTATCAGTCTTGTGCTTAGATATATTAAAAAGAGAGGATTGCTAGCAAAATTAGGACACAAATATGTTCTCTATTTCTTGTTTGTAATGCAAGACAAATATTATGATGTACACAACATACAATAAAACACCAAAATATTCAACTGAGGACTACAGATGCTTTACCATGATAGAGACTATACTGATGCTTTCAGAAGTTTCTACAAATTTTGTAGAACTCTATCCTGGAGTCAATTGGAATTTTAAGAATGTTATCCAGAACAAGAGAAACTTCCAGTGCAGAATTATTTATTCTCTATGCTTCTGCCATAAACATTATCGATACCAGAATCACTGAAGAGACCATAAAGGTAGCTCTGGCTCTTGAAATAAGTGGAAGGTTTAGTCTGTCCTTTCATAGCATCAGGGTCACATTCCTGTTACTTAGCTCCGAAGCAAGAACTGCATGGACTCCAGTGTAGAAGAGATGAGCTTGAAAAGAGGCAGCTTCAACATCCTGTCTCACGAACAAGAAGTTCAAGAAGTTGCTAGTTGAGGAAATATTAGAAGTGCTGTCATTGAGAACAAAGGTTATCTACCCTGCATAGTAAAAGTCTATTCTAAGATGATATATGGCAGTTTGATACGCCTTCATTTGAGGGAGGAGAGGTTGAAGTCATAATTATACTGTAAACACATTAGAGATGAGAGATCTGGGGGGAAGCACGTATGTTAAAGCCTCATCCTTCAGTCCTTATACAGGCAGAAATTCTTCTGCATTAATTGACCTTCGTCATCTTCCTTAATTACACGACTAGATATATTTTATTTTTCTGTAACGAACTCCACAGGAATGGAAGAAGAGGAACTTTCCCTAATTCATTCCCACGGATGACTTGGTGGAAGGAGAAAAAACACAGAGCTATCTGTGGCAGAGGAAGTGGATGAAACTAGCAAAATAGAACTTTTGGGTAAGCCTTCCTCCACCACCCAACAAGTATGCAGCAGTCATGGAGGTGGAGGCATCCCTTCCAGCTTCCTACTCAATTTTCAAGGATTTCTGGCAAAGGAACTTAAAAAAATATTCAAAGGAACTGGAAGCAATGACAGACAACAAAATCATCTGTCCTTTGTACCTTCCTGGGACTGAGCAGTGATCAGAACTTGAGCTATCCCATACACAAAGAATAGTGTGACTGGCCAAAGATGTAAAAGGGAATGACTTTAGTTTGCATTAGCACAGGTACTAATTATCTCAATCTTAACCTTCTTTGAAAGGGAAAACCAGCACAGGGAAACTGGAAACAGATGTATGCTTACAGTCTCCTAGTGGCCTTTGAGAAATTCACTGATAGTGGAACATTTCTAAATCTCATTTCAGTTGGTTGCTGGTTTAAATGGGATAAACAACTCTGAAGTAACTGAGCATCTGGACACAAATACAGTAACATGATTACATTTGATAAAAAACGTAGGAATTGCAGTCTGGTTAGAACAAAATCGAATTACTTCTTGCCAACTGATTTTATGTGAGGCGAAGATGTAACTATGGAGTAATAATGAAGTTACAAGGTGTAGTTCTCACATAGCATGATGAGATTTAGTATTTGTAGGGCACTGTACATACATAGGTAAATAATGCATATTAATGCAAGTTTCTGAATAATTTACATGAAAATCATTCTTGTGCCTGTTCTTACACTGTGCTATCCTCCAAAAACTACATCAACTTATGATACAGATTTCAAAAACGTTTAGCCTGTGGTTTTTATGATTAAATTCCCTTGGAAGACAGATCAGCCACAACAGCTTCAGAAAAAGCATCCACCTGTCATATGTTTCCTACCCTGTGTTGCTCTGGAGCTACTGAGGAGTCACATATTTGCAGTGGGAATATTTATAGGACTCATAATGAAACAGATGAATGTAGCAAACAAAATCATCCAGATCCTTTGAGTATTCCTGGACACATATTACTGTACCTCACTATCGAAGTTCATCTAGTTCCAGCCCCCC